AAAGAGTGCTCTGAAAAGCAAAACAAATAATTACAAGAACAAACAAATTTTAAAAAGAAAAAAAAAAAGAAACCACTGATAAAGCTAACTCTGACTTAACAATGGCGGAAGTTTACTACGTGCAGGTACTGTGAAATGATGCCCATCAGTGTTACAGCCATTTGGTTACAGCAGTTAAATGCCGTGTTGGGCAAACTATGTCACAGATTTCTGCTACCCTTCTCTTTTAATGAATAACACGTGACGCAAGTAACTCCTCTTATTTATTGTTCAACTTTTGTTTTTCCTAAGGAAATGACTTCTGCATACCATCCTGTGAGCAGCTCTTCAGCAGTACCTTGAAAGTTACACCTATTTAACGTGAAACCCATTAACTGGAGTAATTGAAACTCTTTTATTTTTCCAGTGAATTCACTGAGTTAGATAAGTTGGAGCTGGAATTCTGAACTTTGTGCCTGGACTGCCCGATTAGCTGAAAAAAAACGGGGATATCTATTTAAGTCTCTCAGCTAATTAGCTGGCTAGGCCTCTGACCTAAGACAGCAACAAACAAATACAGCAAATTCATAACTTCTAACACAACTGCAAGAGAAACTCTTCAAAGCTGCACATTTGTGCACCATTGCTGTCAACATGGCTTTGTCAGTAGCTAATACTTTCTGTGAAGGCACCAGCTTGTGATGTGCCATCTCATTTCACCTTGCATGTGAGACGGCAAACAAAATCCTCAAACAGTGTGAACTAGTTAATATGCCGGCTGTTACCATGCATAAATTATGGTCTTATCACACGGGTTTTTCGTGGGAATATATCTGTGAATAGCCTGTTTTCTTCCACATGTAAATTTGTGCCTTACACCCTCAGTTGTGTATACTTGTGAGCTGTAGTATGTAAAACCTTTTTCTTTTTCCCCTTTGAGTAATGCAAATATTTATTGATGCTTCCTCCTCCAAGCCCCTTCAAGAACTGGAGTAAAGACATTTAAAGAAGAACGTGGTGGTTATTGTCATAACCCTGTGTCCCTCAAGAAATTAGGCTAGCACCGTACCCTCCGCTTCAGTTTGTCTTTCTAGCTGTGCCAAGTCCTCTCTCAAAACTGCTCGCAAGCGGTGATGCTCCCGAGGCACCGCGCTGGGGGTTCTGCCTTCCGCCGCCTCCTGCTCCCCCTGTACCACACGTCAGCGTGGGAATCTTTCTCGCCGGGCAGCAGGGAAGTCACCAACAGCCTAGTCCATGGGGCTGGTGTGTCACCTGGCTGGGGACCGGCGCCGGTGAGAGGGGCCAAGCCCCGCAGAAAGCCTGGCTGCGCGTTGAGCAGCACGCCGGACACACGGAGCTAGGACAGTCAGGCGGGCTCCTGCTGTAGCTACCCGCTGCTCCAGAAGGATGCTGCATCTACTTCTTTGGGGAAAAATGTATTATTTTTTTTTTCCTTTGTTTCTTTTGTGTGACTGTGCATGTAGCTAGCGTGGGAGTGTGCGCGCACACAGGTGTGTGCGTGTGTGTGTGTGCGCGCAGGTGTGTAAGTTCCTTTCCGGTCTTTCAGTTTATGCAAAAACGTAGATGTGTTTTTAATCTGTTACAATAACTGTGTCAACATACTGTAGAAAAAAGATGGGGATCGCTTCTAAGCTTTTTATATATATATATATATATATATCTACTGAACAGTACGCTTTGAGCAGCGCGCCGGACACACGGAGCTAGGACAGTCAGGCGGGCTCCTGCTGTAGCTACCCGCTGCTCCAGAAGGATGCTGCATCTACTTCTTTGGGGAAAAATGTATTATTTTTTTTTTCCTTTGTTTCTTTTGTGTGACTGTGCATGTAGCTAGCGTGGGAGTGTGCGCGCACACAGGTGTGTGCGTGTGTGTGTGTGCGCGCAGGTGTGTAAGTTCCTTTCCGGTCTTTCAGTTTATGCAAAAACGTAGATGTGTTTTTAATCTGTTACAATAACTGTGTCAACATACTGTAGAAAAAAGATGGGGATCGCTTCTAAGCTTTTTATATATATATATATATATATATCTACTGAACAGTATGTTTGAGTAAGGTGGTTTTTTCTGTTTCAATTTGTTTTTTAAAATTTTATACTTCAATTTGTTTTTCAGGGTTTTGGTTTTGTTTCTGAATGATTGAAAAGACAGATTTTAAGTCCATTAGCTTATAGATGGTATATATAAAGTCTGGATGGTCTAGACCAAAGTGTGTAACAAGGGTGCTTGCATGTTCTTTCATTTTATCACAGCTTCTTTTATGAAACAGTTTTGTTCACCCTTAGTGAACTATGCAGACTGGAGTAGATAGTTCTGTATCCAAAGCAATGTTGTTGTTTTAATAAAAACAAACAGAAAACCCTTTTAAAACAATAGGTAGCAAGGTCATTTTTTTTAAAAGAACCAACTTGCCACCTTTTTACCAAGCTCCAAACTCCTGGAGCACCAAGTGTGCAGGTCCCGTTGATACCACCCAGCAAAGCGTTCTCCCAAAAACACAGAGGCAAATAGTCATGGCAACAGCTTGTGCAGCGATCTGCCTTCATGATGTACACCACACCAGTTACGGGGTTGACCTGGAAACATGCATTTTCTACTCGGTGGGTCTTCTGTTTTCGTCCTTTCCCACTCCCGATTCCCTTCCACCCTTTGTCTCGAGGGGTTCATGAACCTATGTGTGCCTTTGCTTTCCACCCTTGCTATACACTGGTAGATGCAACAAATTCAGACTCTCATTTCTTGTAAAGTTGTAAAGTATTGTGATGTCACCAGTTTCCCTTCATTTCCACATCCCCCTAACATCTGATTCACGACTTAATGTGTGTTGTAAAAAAAAAAAAAAAGAATGAAAAAGAAAGAAGGAGGAGAAAAGGAGAAATAAAAGCTCTTGATTACATATGGTAATAAAACCAGACTGTTCTACCTTATTTCTTGTGTCCTGGTTCTTTTGTTTCTACGGTGACTTACCCTTTTTCTTAAAAAATACAAACAAATGCAATGCTGATCATTTAGATGGCGAGAAAGAAATTTGTTACTTGCTGTCTCTCGCAGAAGATGGACTTCACTTCAGAGTACAGTGATGCTAATTAAAAATTGAATCACACATTTGCTCTCCCTCTATTCATATTCTGCATTTTCTTTTTATGAGCTTGTTCATCATCAAATATTTATGGCAGACTTGATAGTTTAAAAGATCAAGGCTGGGATTTAAGCACGCATGGTCCACCAAAATACATCATAATATAGATGTGACTTCATCTCCAGGCTTTACATATTAATAACGGAGGAGCCTGTGTTTTCTTTTGGCAGGCATTAATCTCTTCTGCTTCACAGCCCTGCTTTAGATTGCCTGAGACTTTAATTCTGCAAGGAAATGGTAGTAAACAGGTAAATAACAAAAGAGTATATTATCTACCTAGTCCTGGGAGTAACTAAAACATACCTGCCTTCTCCACACTGATTTTGTATGGCTGTGAATCACTTGTGCTCAGCCAGTAGTGTACAGGTAAATGCTTGGTTATCTTTGTTACTGATTTTGTTTTGTGACACGAATTCTGTCTAACCCTGTAGCAACAAGGGCTCCAGTCCAGAAATTTACCCTTACTCGGGTCATACTTGGGCTTCCTGCCCTGCCAGGACACGCTGTTTGGGACCTACAGCCTCACTGATACGTGCCGGTCCCCCACCTCACACCACGGATAGCTTTCTGGCTCAGCAGAAAGTGGTGCAGTATTAGCTTTCTTCAAGGAGCGGGGCATAGTGGATTCAAAAAGACATGTCGCAAAGCCTTGGCGTGCTCTCTGCGGTGGAAAGCACGAGGCCCTTCTCCAGCTCCAGCTCCCCTACTCTGCCCTGAAGGACAGCAGGGCTCCGAAGGTGGTGGCCTTGGCGCAGCCGTGACAGGCGAGAGCAGAGCATTGCAAACATGGTTTTTCAGTGCCTTGCCCACAGACGCCTCTCTCTTTTCATCTCGGGTGCAGGCTTCCTCTGAGCCAGGCATGCAGATGTGAGGTGTGGACGTGGGGATGATGTCTGCCATGGCCAGGACCTGGCAGGCTGCCCCGAGTGATGCTGAGGGATGTCTAGCCTGGGGACACAGGGCGCTGTACAGTCACACAGTGCTCCACACTCTGCTGCATTTGACCTGCATGCTCCGAGAATTGCAGCAGGCGGGAAAGCAAACGCTCTCCAGATGCTTAGAGACCCATGTTGTTTTCAGTCCTGCAGGCGGACCTCTGCGATGTTACGTTGTCCAGCTGTGTTTGAAATGCTTTGTTGAGGCAGCACCTAGGGAAGCTATTCAAGAGTAATGTGCCTCTATTTCAACATTAATATTCGTATTCCTCTATAAACAATTGCAGGCTGCTGCCTGGAGGACAGGGCCCAAGAACATCTCTAGAAGTGTCACTGGCTGCCTCCTTTGCGGAGCTCCTCCATCTGTCACCAGTAAAAGGAAGGTCCCTTGGAAGCACAGGCACGAAGAAGGGAGGGCAGGAAGGGGATGCCCTGATGCACAAACTGATGTGTATGAGGTCTGTAACTGCTCTGCTGGTGTGGCCGCAAACTGCTGCCCAAGGGAGGGTGTGAACCTAGGTCCTTAAA